AGTGTTCACAGAAACTACAAATCATTTTATAACATAACCAAAGTAAAGCACGTGCTCTGATTGGTCAATTTAGCATTCCCCATTTGCCCATGGGTGTACGCTGCTGACATGAGCAAATGCAAAGACAATTTTTCTGCGCATGCTTGTTTTTTCTGGTCACTTAAGATTTGTTAAATAAAAGGGAACTCTTTAGCTACAATGTATCAATGTTATGTTATAAAACAAATGGTAAACACCACAGCATACACTATTGAGTTATGGATACACTTGGGAGGTTTGCTAAGCACTCAAGAAGCTAGAGTCACTCTCGACTATCACCTCGAGCGATGGATGCACCTCCCATGTGCATCCATAACTCAATAGTGTACGCTGTGGTGTTTACCATTTGTTAATTCATAATCAATTTGATATTAGGAGTAATTGAATGAAGCAAAAGACTTTCACCCTAACATTTTATCAGTAGGAAGGTCATTACTTTAAATCCTGAGTTCAATACAGTTCATCCATTTTAGAAATGGATGTTGGGAATATATCTTAGCATATTTCTGTTTCACAGAATTACTCTAGAAGCAACAACAGCACCTAGTTAATTCAGATCAATAAAATGTTTGGACTGGCCCTTAAAATGGGTCAGAATTTTAATTTGAAAGCATGGAAATCAATTTTTCTTAGCGAAAAAATTTGCATTTTATCGAGATGTCAATTGTTACGAAAAAGACATTTTGAAAGCAGCAAACAGGGGGAGACTAATAGTAAAAATGGAGATGCCACCAAGACCATCAATCCAAAGAATGCAAATCCAGCAACAACCTGAGTGAAGAAGATGATTAGAAACAATCCACATCATATTTTATCTCTGTCATTTGAAAGTACTGGTATGTTATTTCCTTGAATAAGTACCTATTCTGCTGTAGTCAAAGCTTATTGTAATGGTTGGAGTATATTCCTTCATCTGGTTGCTTTCGAGTTCATAGTGCAAGTTTCTCCTGAGATGCACTTACAACCTTCATTAATCACAAAGGACTTTGACAAAAGTCGGTTTCATTGCATAGCCTTTGCCTTAAATACATTCTCCATTGGGAAGCCCTTATGCATATTTCCACACAAAAAGGGAGAAAGCAATGTTTTGATACTGGTGTGGACCCATCTTCATGAAGCTAATCTTAACAAAAGAAAAACAACTTGGGTAAACCAACCTGTGTCCTGTGAAGGAATAGCGATGCGCGTGAGTGGCCTAACTTGTTTCTACATGGACCTTTGTCATAATGTCTTAACATTATGTCACTCTGTTGAGGAAAAAAGATAAATATGTAAGTCTGATTACATAACATTTTAAATTTTCTTTTGTGCCAAATGGTCCCAAATCAAGAGTTGGATTCAAACCTGCTTTAATTATAAATTTGTTGTAATAACATCAGTTTTCATCCACTTCAAACTGGGCTTACACTATGGTAGTACAAAGCCTCACCTAAACAAAAGGGAAGTTGAAAGGGTGTGAGACAGCTTTGCCTACCTCAAAAGGAGTCAGAGGTTTGCAGAACTTTTGAGAATTCTCCTAACCCCCAAAGTGTTAAGATAAAATGTAAGCAAACACATCCAAAGTCATCTCTTCCTTTGACTTGTAAATATGATACTTTGTGAAAAATAAGCACCAATCCAAAAATATCAAAACAGTATTTCCATACTCTGACCTAAATACACCCCTTAATCAATGAGATCCTGGATAGTATCAATTTTTTCCCAGAAAAGAATCTTATTTAGTTTAATGTTATTTTAATAAAAATATTGTACTTAAAAACTGATGCTTGGCTTACATCCAAAGATTTTAAACAGTGCCAACAGAAGATGTGTTTACAATGACCACACATCATCTGAGCACATCCTGCTTCTCTCATTATTAATACTTGACAAAGAGGGCACTCCTTGATGTCTCCTGCTTCACCATTCTCTCTTAAAATATCCACAAATCTGCAAAGTTGAACATTATATCTCTTGTAAGTCACAGAAGCCTTACACCTTATGCACCATTCTAAGTAAAAAAAAAAAAAAACACACACACATACACAAACATGCAGTACCTATATTTCTATCCTATCTACATCCACATGACAAATTATTTAATTTGCATGATGCTTTTTTTGATGACTGCTATAATTGTTGTCAATTCTCCTGCATACAGGCACAGACTAAATGGTAAGTAAAGCCACAATGGCAAGTTTCATGAAACATTATTGGGGAACTCAAGAACGGCAGAGTGGTACCTTGTTCCTGACTGTGAATCAGATATCACCTTCTTGTAGTCATCACAAGTCATAGCAGCATGCCAATGTTCTTTACAAGCGAAGCAGAAGGTATACCCACACTACAAAATAAGGCATAACTTGATTTACAATATTTGGAATCACATTAATTAAATAGCATTTTCCCATTGATTGGCATAAAAAAAAAATTAAAATGAAATTGCAATGACTGACCAGAACAAAGAAAAAAATGAGAGCCTGATACAAAAACAAGTAAAGGAAATTGTCTGAAGTGTTGGGAAATGCAAGCTACCAACCCACTGTTTCAGTTTTGTATCTGATTGGTTTGGAGAGTTGCACAGTAATGCTTTCAGGACTTATCACAGACAGTAGCACAGCAAAATCTATCTGCAATTAATTAAGGACTGCTTCCTCCATAGAATGATTTTGGATAAAGTGTTATGAGTGATACAGATTTCTTGGGTTTTATAAAATTTCTCTCTGTGTTTGGTCCACAAAACTTGTGTCATCCTCTCAACAAACCAAATGCAAACAAAAAACAATGGCAGCTTAGTAATTCATGTTTTTCCAGCAGTTTTCTTGTTTTCACTCTGAGTTCTCATTGGCTAATGATAAAGTAAACATTTTTTCTGATTGGTTGCTGGGATTACTAAACTGCACCATTGTACAATTAAAATACATGTGTAGCAAAAATTTCTTTAAGTAAAAAATAAATTTATAAGCATATTTTACCTCTTGACAGACGGTAGGCTGTGCCAGGCCTGGTAGTCCATTACAAATTCCTTCACAACCAGCCATTGGACAAAATGTTTTGGTTTTATCTACAGCAACCTCTATGAGAGAACATAAAAGGAGTGGTGAATAAAAATTTTATAGAACAAAGGCCTTTGTGAGCAGTCTCAGATCTCACTCACATAATAGATGTGCACCTTAATTTAGTCTTTTCTGCCACAGTTGTATAAAATGTAGTTACAATTTTCAGCAAACATTTCTGTACAGACTTGTCGATATTGAAGCCTTCATGCATGATAATGACTTTACATGTCAAAATGTTTCAAATTGTATATCATCAAATTTTACCTTTCTGTTTGAGCAGTCTTTGATACTTCTCAAACATGTCACTATTGACCAGCAAATCAATCTAAATCGGAATTAAATCAAGTATGCATGTAAGCACATATTCTTTTTTACTATACTCTGGTTAGGGATAAAGTACTAACTTGTTTACAAGTGATAAGAAAAAGGTAAAGCCTAGCTACTTACAATCCATGTGGCCCATCAGGCCAGTGCTTAACTCCTGTTTCTGTAGCATGAAGCAGCTAGGAGTAATTCTGCCCCCCCCTGGATGGGATGCTAGTCCATTGCAGGGTTACCCCCAGCATTAAATTTGCTGATACCCATTTAATTCTCCTGGGTAAAGAGAGGCACTGTGAGAGAAAAGTGTCTTGCCCAAGCACACAGCACAATGTCCCCAGCCAGGGCTCAAACCCAGGCCACTCGATCTAGAGTCGAGCGCACTGACCATGAGGCCACTGTGCCTCCCCTGTTTACAAGTGAGGCAGAGCTAAATTTGAGAAGAATTCCTCTTTTATCACCACTGGTATTTCTCGTTGGTTTGTACTTTGTCTATGGTTACACTTAGAGAAATACTTACCTCATTCTTGGTCATGCTTCCACTTCTGGGACACAAGGCATCAGGACAAGGCAGTTTCAGGACTTGTCCACTGTTAATCAAGTATGATACATACTTTCCCAAACACTGAAAAAAAGAAACAAATTAACATTACCTTTTTTTAACAGAAAAGAGAGAAACAGTGCAACAAAGAGAACAATACAGCTCAAAAAACAATGAATATAAAGACAGTTTTCAAGCAATTGAAACATCAATTTGTGACAGGGGTTCAGTTGCCAAAAATAATATCTGTTTGCAACACAAAAGTTGATAAAAGGTATAATTTTGATTACCAAAGTTAATGAATGACCAACTCATTATTTCTTAGACATGAACAACCCATGAATTTTCATGCCATTAGTTGGATAATTTTGAACACTGTACCAAAATGACATGAATTCCAAGTAATCAGCTGTTTCCTGGTTACCATGTTTATAGGTACCCACTAACAGAGTGGGAAGGTGTACTTGGTCTATATGTCATGACTATGCCTCACATTTAAAATAATTGTTTAGTCCAAAATTAGAATTCGCATTCTCCTAAAATGAAGCACAATCATTCTGAGAGAGCGGGGTGCTGGGATTGTTCCAGACTGACTCAAGTCGAATCTTTGACTGTTTCAGTTGCAGATATGGCGAAAGTCACATTTAATTTAAAACGGTTTAATTCAATTGATTCAAATGCCGCACTTCACATGCATTTAATTCTCGTATTGAGTTCGGCACATGTGAAATTTGACATTTCAACCAACCCATGTCAACCTGTCTAGCCCTGCCTACATCAGCTTTCATTATGGTTTTTATACAACTATATGATCCAGACCATGATAAACAACTTACTTTTATTATTACAATTGACATTGATAATAACAGTCTGGTAGTGAGAGAATACAAACGACTTTACAATCAGCTGGGGGTTTATCACAAGTTTTAAGCCCAGTTGAAATGTCGAATTTCACATGTGCCGAACTTAATATGAGAATTAAATGCATGTGAAGTGCGGCATTTGAATCAATTAAATTAAACTGTTTAAAATTAAATGAGACTTTGGCCATATCTGCGACTGAAACAGTCAAAGATTCGACTTAGGTTCAACTTTTGATTCAAATCTCGCATCTCACATGTGCCAAACTTAATGCATGAATTATAGGAAATTATTATGATTCATTCATTACCCACAACTTGCCAGGAATTCTGTGAATGGCATGTGCAAAAAAGCCAAAACAGCACAAAAAAATGGTGGGAGACGAAGGAATTTGTAGTTCTTGTATAGTTGTTTGATGTGTAGTAATTACTTTTATGAGGTGTTCAGTTTTTGAAAACGAAGAAGGCACTCCTGGGTGGAAAGTAGGAAAATCTGTGGCATATTGTGGGTCGTGTTTCAATGAAATGATGGAACGTGAATCAAGTCAAAGTATCATGACGAAAAGCCAAGATGACAAAGCAAAAACAATTAAACAACAAAAAAAAGCATCAGTAAAGCAATTACGCAAACGCTCAATAGATATCTTTGTCTAGCAAATTAGTAGTGCGCCTAGGGATATTAACAGCGAACAGAGTTAAATTCGACAGAGTTTTAACTCTATGGCATTTGATTCAAACATCGTATTTAAAAATACGACGTTTGAGTCAAATGCCATATTTAACTATTTTAGTTGACTAAAATAGGAGTTAAGTTTGGCACATGTGAAATTGGACATTTGAACTGGGCCTTAAATGAGCACCAAGTGTTCATGCTGTTAACAGACATATCTATACAAGTCATGTAACAAGGGTCTGTATCCTGAAAATAGCAATTCACAAAGAAAAAAAAGCCCATGAAATACAGTGCAAGCAACCTTACCCAAAAATGGATAGAAAGCTCTGGAAGAATGAATTATGTTTAAAACTTATAGACCTTAGGTCACTTATGAAAAAGTAAACAGAGAGCTTTTAGTAATGGTCACCTTTGAAAACAGATTATTTGTTACATAAGTTAACACTTTCGCTCCTTAACAGTCTCAAAACAAATTCTCCACACCTTTAATTTTTTGTGATACATTTCTTATAACTTAAAAAAAAATGAGAAATTGGTATTAAAGAAACAGTTGATCACTTTTTGTCTTTCTTCATATCATCTTTCTTCATATCATCTTTCTGCGCATGAAAATGTGTTGATGCTGATAGAAAATTAGCAAGTCATCATTCCTAAGATTAAAAGGGTTAAACTGTCCACTTAAGAAAGTGTCACAACACTGTGTTGTAAAGAGCTATGGAGCCTTACAGATCACCTTAATCAGTGATAGGGATATCAGTTAGGAATACATACCTCTTTACAAAATACACAACTGCATTTGTCCAGTTTGTGGCCTTTTTTGTTTGGATATTCTGACAAACAAATCTTACAATAAAACATTTTCCTGGAAGCTGACTTGCAAAGTCTTGACGATGGCAAACTTGTCTTGCCCCTCTGTGTTTTCCCAGCTCCTTCTGCTGAGTGTGGTGTTGCCAGAAAAGCAGGAAACATGGTATACAGTAGAGATCTTATAGAATGCAAGGCAACCTTGAGTGATTCTGAAAAATAAAAATAAATATTTGGATTACAATTTTGTACTCACCAGACCTTGGTTAAATCAGAAATGTTAGTACATAATTTACAAAAATGCATTGAAGTTAGATGTATGCAAAGTTTTATAACTGTACTAACACAATGACTGTGCACATGTTTTAGGAAAACAGTCGACAAAATTACTAATTTTAGCATACCTAGTGTGGGATGAAATTTAAATTACAACTTGTGAGGTCAAAGTACTGACATTGTTATTATAATTACCTGTATATTTGTTGATCAATATGGCCGCTATTTAAGAGAAGCCCTTAGCTGCATTAATTATCCCTATTTACAGAGTTGCAAGCACCCCAAAATTTTTCATGTGTATAAATTTAAAGAAATGATGAATTACACAAAGCAACTTATAAAGAGGCTGACCTACCTTTTTTCACAACAAACATCTGGAAACTTTGGTTTATTTTCAAAAAAATTTGTCAAATGTTAACACTTTTATCTGGAGGGTATACTGAAATTTAAATATTACCCCCTACTGGAATCTGTCAGTTACACGGTACCTGCAACTTAGATGTAGCTATGCTTTTAAGGATCTTCAACATTTTTCACTGCTGAGCAATTGAAAAGACCGACGAATGATAATTACTGCTGCATTAAATGCAAAAACAATTAAACTTCTGCTCACATTTCAAGATCTAGCAATGAAGCATGACATGCTAAACAGCTGAATGTTATAAAGTTAATCATGTGTCAATTGTATAAAAACAGTTTTGAGAGTTAATGATGTATGAAATAGGCCTGATTTTCACGTGGTCACTATTTAATTATTGACTTTGCTTTTAAGTGTGTAAACATAAAAAAAGCAATGAAAGATTTTGTTAGTATTGAGAGCTTCAGGCCACATTTTGTAATACTTTCATGGCCCTGATTACAAAAACTAACAGTGACCTCTGTCTAACAGTACAGACTCTGGAAACACTATTTATTTACCACAATTGGCTTACTGAACTTAATTTATTCTACATTTCAAAGCTAGATGAAAAAAAAAACATCCTTGCCTCTGGCAGTTGTGATAGTACTGCTAAGGGTCTCAAAGACTTTGAATAATGAGGAGCCCACAAGTCTGCTCTGGTGAAAAAGTTCTAAACTTATCTGTATAATTATGAACATTCTTTAGTCAGGCTCTGACAAAAGCTTAACACAAACAAAAGTTTTCAAAATTGAAAATCTTGCCTTTGATCCTAAAGTGGTATTCAATAACAATTACAAAAAATTTAATACCCAAATGCAAAATATCTCATCTGCATTTTTCAAAATATTCATTTCTTAAAACTGTCTGAACCTTACCTATAATTAAATAATTAGTTTGCAATGGAAGAAAATTTCAGCAGCACCAGGGTTTTTACATCAAAACATTAAAATCCTACCATCAAATTACTTTCAAACTTTTAGTAACCTTGGATACCTATACAAATAAATTATTCTGTCAATATTTTTAGTAGGACAAGCTCTCACATCCTCTTAAAGTAGGAGCCAAATAGTCTCATTAGATGTAGACCAATTAAACACAACATAATATTTATTATTATTTCCTCATAACATAAACCTTAATTCAATAAACTTGCACCTCTCTAATATAGGCCAGAAACTCAAGAAATGGACTTTTTTCCAAGGTTAGCTTCAAATTATCCAATAATTTTTATAATGATAAAATTGAATAATTGATTGAAAAAACTTGTTTTAAATATTAAAAAGTAAACAGCTATCACGTGAGGTTTTAAGACAATGGTGAACTACTGCCAACCTGATATTTAGAACAAGTCTGGGCAATAAAAATCAGTTAAATCGATATTAATATTCACCTTAAATCAGACATTTATTTTGATTAAAAGTGACAGCAGCTCAATTGCTACCAGAAAATAATCTATAACGACATTTCAACCTACCAAAAATAAATTTGAACCTCGTTGCACTTTGCTGTTTTGCCGAGTATTCGACCAGTCACTCATGATTTAGGACGTACAACTCTCCTTGTAGCATTATATGATTAGGAAACGGTGAAAAACTTGCGTGTTTGATTCACAGTCGACTTTACAGTCTAAAACACACTGCTGATAACAAGAACTGGTGCTCACGCACCGGGCTAGCTAGTAGTCAGAAAACGAGAAACCTGTCGCTTATAATACTGTTTTTCCCGTGAAATGGAAAATTCAAATAAAGGGGCCGATTGTAGGGTTTGACACCAATTCGTTGACTTGAAAACATGAAAAGTAAATCGTTTTCAAGACGTTCAAGCGATGAGGAAATTTTCAATTTCACTATTGTCATTTGTGAACCGGATATACGGGTCTCACATCACATGTAAATGACACACACGACTGTTAAAATAAAAACATGCGAATGATTTACCTCAAAGAGAAGCAAGAAAGCCATGGTCGTCCTAATTTTCAACGAAACGGAGAAAACACTGCAAACAACTTGACGGTAGACATGTTCAAACACCGGACAAAAATAATGATGTCATAATTTCAATTGACCACTGTGCAGGGGCTGGGTGGGAGTAAAATTATCTCAGGGGCAAGGAGGGTCGTTTGATATCACAAAGAGTTAATTTGCCATAAACAAACAAAATTTCGAGGCATCTATGTGGTTTGTACTATAAAACTTCCAATGAGACAATAACAACAGATCGTCGAGCAACCTGCTGTATTTCACTATGTCATGCACGCGAATTATTTAAAATGTTATGATCTGTATCGGGCAAAGTATGCCTGCGTCGCATTTCCAAGACCTATATTCTTCACTATTGAACGTTTTACCACTATGAGAAACCAGAATATTGACATGAAATTTAACAAAACATGCTGTTGGACGGGAAATTTTAGTTAATGTATCGCGACAATGAATTAATGCAGCCAACCAATTCTTTCGAAACGAATTTTTAACATTTTAACACATATGTAAAGTTTAGATCGAGGTCAGATTATTTTCCCTGGAAAAATCTTACCTTACCAGACTATTTTCGTCAGGCATCTGCTGATTTTCCTTATTTCCTCAGTGTACACCCAAGACTTATTCCTTCGGTTTGAACTCTGGGTTTGAACCGAACTCTAAACAGAGGTCTCTATTCCTTGTTTATCCCGTGTAGTCTCCCAGTGTTGTTTTAACAAACATATCCCTAATGGTTTTAGCTCGAAATATTGGCTCTAACTGCGGTTCGCTGAATGGCTTTTTACAAATATCACGAAAAACCAAAACAGTCCTTGTGACTGAGGGAACTAATTCGTGACCTTCTCGTGGAGATCAGTACCGGAAGTAACTTTACTTTACTTATATTCGATTGGTTGAAATTAGAGACACGAATAATGTTGATAGATATGTCTTGAGATATTCAACAGATTCTTTATAGTCAAGATTCCACATTTAATTTTCTTTGCGTTCTAGAAAGCTTTTGGGTCAATAAACGGTGCTCCCTTTTCTCATACAAATCATCTTCACTTCCTTTGTTTGTTGAAGTTTTCCCTGTTTTTTTTTTTGTTTTGTTTGATCTTCTGTTTTTAAGCATGTTTTTAAGTTAGTTATTTGGATACTTGCAAATTCTACAATCTTTTTTGTTCGTTTCGTTTTAATCCTTTCACTTCTACTTTTTTGTGAGATTAGGAATTTACAGTTCCTTAGTTACCTATCCAATAACTCAATGAGGTTTTTGCTTCAAGTCCTGATTGGTTTAGGTTCTTTTCCGGTACGCACCAGAATGAGACCATGCGGTGTTGCGTGTATTTGATTATTTCGGTACTTAAAGATGACGTCAATGTACGTAAGAACTCTTTGAAGTCATAAAGCGCCGTAATCGAAGTTAAATGCATTTTGTGATGGTCATGACTCATTAAAATTCATATCATGTCAAAACTTGAACTGCGACACATTAGCATTGACTCTTAGGGCCCTAATCTGTCCACAAAGATAACGTGAATTTTCCACGCACAGGCCTTTTGCTCAGTAATGACAAACACACTGTGAGACAATTAAAATAAAGAAGACTGAGGTAAAACTATCATCTTCATATGCTCGTTATAATTTTCAGAACTATCATCAAAAGTACGAAAAACTACGAAAATGACAAACACACTGTGAGACATATTAAAATAAAGAAGACTGAGGTAAAACTTTCATCTTCATATGCTCATTATAATTTTCAGAACTATCATCAAAAGTACGAAAACCCACGAAAAACTGATTCATAACTAGGAAAAGGAGAACAAAATTTAATGAGTTCCTTCGGGTGCTACTGACTTTAACTAATTCTTCGGTTCCCAAGCAACTAAGATGGGAACGGCCTTTAAATGGTTAAGATTTTGGACGAAATCATAAAACGCGCATTCTATGAATCGAAGACTCGAAGATCGTATGTGTTGCTTACGGTTGTTTTGAACAGAATTACCTTCTCCGAATATTTTCCGCAAACATAGTCAAATATCGATATTGATAGAGAAAACTACAGCACAAAACCTCATCAGTAAGTTTTACAGACAGTTCATCTGAGACGAGGAGACACTCAATTGTATTCATTAGGGACATTAATATTTAAGCAAACCACGACGCCTACGGCAACGAGAACGTGGAAAAGCAATAGATCTAATTGGCAGAGCAATAGCCTAGCACGTGCGTTTTAAAACTTTGTACATTTCATAGCCGTCCTTGGCAAAACAACAACGTGAAATCACCAAAATTTGCGTCGTCTGCGAAGCGAAACCGCGGCGGAAAATTATTTTAAGTTACATTTGGAAATCAACGCTACTTTTATGCGTTATGTTGAGTTTGAGGTCTGGCGCCCTATGAGACGGCGCCAGCCATTTTCGAAATTCTAACTAAAAGTAGAAACTCATTTTTTCATCGGCGTCTTCCGTGGCGTTGCCGTCCTGACTGATTAAAGTCCCTAAATTGTCTATAGAGCGACGGCTTCAAGCAAAAACTATCCTTAGGCCTTTCCGCAGAGATCAAGACCGCCGGTAGAAACTGAATTAAGTACATAACTTCATCACCAACTCTTCACACATTTGACTTTGAATAAGTTTGGTTTCCAAAATAAAGATAAGTTATTAAATCTTTTCTTTGTTCTCTGAGACTTTTGGCTTTTTGAGTTGTAAGTGAAGTGTTAATAATGTGCTAAAATCGTCGATGCCCCTAAGAACTTGAAACAATCGAGAACTTAACTCTTTTAGCCAGAATTACAGATCAATTGAGGCTTCGATGCCTATCAGTTTTAGTTTCATCAGCAATTTAAGGTCTAAAAAAAATAACAATTTAATGCGTTCGGTTCTGTCCTCGTGTACCGGTTCACAAGAGCCAATACAAAAGACCAAACAATACACAATAG